ATATAAAACATGTACTCACTATAAGTATTAATAAAAAGCTCAGACCAAAGAGGTCACCTTAATACTGAAAAAAAAAATAATAAAAATAAATCTAAAAAAAAATGAACAAAAAAGAAATATATAGAAAGTTTTATTAAGATTATAAAAGTTTACTATTAAAAATAATCAAAATTTTCTTTAGTTTTAAAGAAGTTAACATAATAAAAATCCTTTAATTTTAAAGAAGTTAACATAATAGTAACTTTTTAAAGATAAATAGAATTAGGTTATTACCATGCTAACTTCTTTAAAACAAAAAGGAATTTTGGTTATTTTTAATAGTGGAATCCTACAACTCTGATAAAACTTTCTATATACTTCTTTTTTGTTTATTCTTCATAGTTTTATTTTTTTTAAAAAGTACTTTAAATTGTATAAATAATATAAAATTAAATTGATTTAAATAGCCAATCATATAAAAGTCTTCCAATAATAAATAAATACATTGCTACCAATTTTCCAATTGTAGTGATCTACATTTAACTGTATTACTCTACCTATGCTTTTATCTAGAATGCTGTGTCCAACAAATATATTAATGTTAACATTTTAAATATCATCATTCAATAAAAAATAATTATAACTATACTGATAATTATGATAACATTTTTCACAAAAAATAAAAAATCTTCTTTAGCTTCTTTTATATTTGATATTAGTAGAATAACTTTTAATATGAATTTTAAACCAGATATAAAGCTTGAAAATGTGTGAAAAAACTTAACAGAAGGGCAAGATGACCTAAAAACCAAAAACTTTTATTTAAACAAAATGAAAATTTGATATTTTATAAATATGAGTCTAATTATACATTAAATGAACTTTCTAATAAATCTACTATATATCTTGAGAATCTATTAAAAGAAATTAAAGTTCATGTGAATGATAAACAATTAACCTTCTGGTTAGACCCAAATGATAAATTAAAAGATATCTATAACATTTTTATTAAAAAAATAGGAAAATTTTTTACTAATAATGGAGTTAATGAAAATAAGAAAGATTTTAAGTTTAGATGAAAGAACAAAAAACTTGTCAGTGAACCTGAACTTGATAACTGTTTAAAAGAAATTTTATTAAAATATAATGAGTTATATATTACTATTCTACAAGAAGACAATGTTAATATTTACAGTAGTCATAGTAAAGCCTTTAATCAACCACTCAGATTTAGTTTACATAAAAATAAAAACCTTAATAAAATCTGAGAAGAACTTGAAAATGCTTGGATAAAACAAAACTATTTCTATATGTGTTCAGAATGCTGTTTTCTGGATCAAGAAAAAGCAGGCATTTCAAAACTTGGCAAAAATAAGTTAATATTAGATAAGATTTTATCAGTTAAAAATAATAATTATATTTTAAATATTGATTATGAATGTAGTTATGATGTGATAAAACTCATTAATAAATGTGAATATGGTCTTATTATTAAAGATGGTTTAGTAGACAGGCTGAATCTAATGCATTTATATTCAAAAAGACACCAGACCATCATATTTTAAATGGTAAATATGATGATTATTACAAATTATTCAAATGTAAAAATGAATTTCAAGAATTATATAAATGAAATTTCATTATATTTGGAAGTACTACTTCTATTTTACCATGGGTTTCCATTTTTTTGGGAGTTAATTATAATGACTCACTTGAAAAACTAAAAGAATATAATGAAGCTAAAAAATATTCATTTACAAGTGTAAAAGAAGCAAAAATAAATATTTTAAAAAACTGCATTTCTTTAATTAAAGAATTTAAGAAAAAGATTGAAGAAGTATTAGAAGAAGAGAACAAAAATAAAAAGATAGAAATTCTTAAGCAAATTGCAGAAAAGTATAGATACTTTTATCTAAGCACTTTTTATTTTAGAGGTGTCATCATTCAGAGAACAGAAGATATAAAGAATATAAGTATGTTGCATTTATTTAATTTTTTAAATATTATTCAAATTTTTAGATAAAAAAAATAGAATCTGAAAATTTGAATATTAATTCTGAAATTGGATAAATGATGCAAAATCAAACATTGGTGTATTTTTGTAAAGAAAAAGAAATACCAATAGTGAGATAGTTGTAACTGAATATAGTTACATAATAAAAAGTGATGATATTTCGAAATTTAAATTTGATGACTGTTCTAAATGGATCAATTCAATTAATGATCCTGAGAAATGGGACATAATTGAATATCACAAAATCAATTCTATTTTTAGTTTATTAGTCAAGGACTTGAAAAAATGTGTTATAGAGGCTTTGGAAAAAAGGATTTTAAAAGGTAAGGAAATCTTATTATTTCTGATTAAATTATTCATTTAAATCTGTAATTCTTAAATATAATTTTAACTAATTAGCAGAAATCGAGTCAATTCAATATGAAGAAAACTAAAATAAACATGTGCATGATCTAAGCAGGCAATTAAATAATATTCCTAATATAAAAGACTGTCATATACTTACTACAGTTTTGAAAACCAGCACAGATAGGCATATATTTTCTTCATACATATCTTATGATGGTCATCTTAACAAACCAATAATTATTATCAATTGAGTTCCAAGCAAAAAAAAACCTAATGGTAGAGGAAAATTTATCATCCACATTGGATGAATGATCATAGGGTATCCGACTGATACTTTTGACTTCGAACTGTCGAACCAAGTTGTAGTCAAAAGTGACATACACCCATTAAATGATCAAAACATTATTTTTGAGAAGATTTCTTATCAAAATAGTATGGGACATATGAGAAAATATGTGTTAACTGCATGTGTTTTAGATAACATAAGATCAAGCTCAGCTTCAACAATATCTCTGACAATGAATACATTAAATATACATGATTCAAAATTAGTAGTTGGATCTCATCTTTTCCATCCACAGGATTTAGCACGTTTATTTGTTTACTGTTCTGAAATGTATAAAAGACAAATAGAAAAGAATCTGCAAAATAATCAACTTTTAGGATGCTTAAAATTATTGATTTGGTAATTTAATGCTTTATTTTGAATTTTTAATTCATATATTGTATAGTTAATTAATTTGTCTTTATTTATATACAGTACCATTTGTATAGAGCCAAACTTCCTTAATTATGACTTCCAAAGAAAAAAAGTAGAATGGGATAATAGGAGTATAACAAAAAAATCAAGTGTTTGGCACTCGAAAATAAACCTAAATAATAATAAGAGTCACGTTGATAAGAGTCTCATATTTGTAAGTCGAAATCATCCTGATAATAAGAGTTTAATGAGAAGATCAAGTGTTCAATATTTGGAAACAGATCAAAATGACAGTCCTATATTTATAAATCAACTCTTCGATCAAAATTGCCCTGGTAATAATTTTGATAGAATAATTAATGTTAATCCCACACATTTTCAGCTTAGAATATTAAATAACAGTGAATTTACTACAAAAAAAGTCGGAAAATTACTATCTTCGTATTCCCCAAGAAATCAATTTATACCCATAGAATTAAAATTTTTTAATCATTAATTTATCTATCATTCAAATTCATAGCACATTGTATACTTATACTATTTTAAGATACTATGGAAGTTCTCAAACGCCTAAGTTAATTTATCGGAATAAGTCTGGGTGTAAATTTTAATTAGCAAAAAATAGTTTAACGAATCAATTGTACTTATTATATTAATGAATAAGATAGTTTAATACGTCAGATAGAAAAATTTAATCAGCGGGTGATTGTTTAACCGATCAAGGGTACTTATCATTCCAATTAACAAAGATGGTGACGCTGACATCCTTTTTTTTGTTTATAGAATTGCGCCTATTAGCTGAAATTGTTTATTAAATGATTAGAAAGGTGAATTGTCATTATGGATCTTCAAAATCGTTACTAGTGCCAACGAATTATTACTATTACTTATTGTCTGTTATTACAGAAATACATATATTTATTTAAAAAATTTATTTATATATTGATTACTTCTTCGAATTCTCTATTTTATTTATTGTCGCTGTAGGATTCAGAAAAAGTTTAGTTGGACATTTTTATTGTTGCAGCAACATATAAAAAATTCGTGAAGTCTGAAAAAGAGGAAACAGGAATCGAAATTATTGAAGTCGACGTCTGAAAAAGAAGAACCAAAAATTTGAATTGTTGAAGATGATGTTTTTACATTTTTTTTTTTGTTAATTCATTTTTGTGTTTCAAACATAATAATCGCCAAAGTGTTTGCTCAAGCATCAATTGCAATCAATATTTTAATTTATCGTAATACTTGAGCACCATCATGATCATAAACTAATCACAATGAGGAAGATACGTGTGCATAATTCAATTATACTAACATTCGTACTATTGAACTTCAATGATGATTAACTAAATACCACAATCATTAGCTAATCACATCGAGCGTGCTGCTTGAGAACACCCTATATAAGACAATTCCAATTAGAATTTAACTTGCACCTTTTTTAATATTTTAGTAAAACCAACAGCTTGCTTTATTCATTTGAAACATTTACATATTAATATTGTACCAGGAATGGAGTATGAAATACGAAGTGTATGGTTACGAAAGAGTTAAGTGGTGTCTCTTCTGTATCTGATTGGATGATCATTGGATTTCTATATTTGTATGCTGCTAGGGCTTTGCCCCTTAAAACGTGTACGTACCAGTTTCGGTCCACATGATCTTCCGGCTAATTAGATCTGAACTA